AATAGTATTTTTTTCTTTGTTAAAGTTTTTAGTGGACATAGGAATATTTACAAGTCTGTGTGTTAACGAATGAAATGTTGCCAATTTATGTTGCCATGGATGATTAGAATGTAAAGGTATGATACTGTTTGTTGTAGTTGGTTTTCGGTAAATTTTAAATCTGTGAATGTGTTTTTCTTTTGAAATGGTTATATCTAGAAAGTTAATGTGTGAATGTTGTATTTCTTTTGAGAATTTAATTTGTGTTGAGATTGAATTTATGTGTTCGTGTAAATTGTTTGCTTCTGTTTGTATTCCTTCAAAAAGGCAAAGGATATCGTCAACATATCGGTGCCAGTATATAATTTTGGATTTGTAAGGGTTGCTTTCAATTAAAACTTTGGTTTTCTCTAAATTATTCATGTAAATATCAGCTAGAAGTCCAGATAGAGGAGAACCCATAGGTAAACCGTCTTCTTGAATGTAAAATGACTGATTATATTGAAAATAGTTTTGGTTTAATGTAATATTTTGGTTAGTCTAACTAAATCATTAATTTGAGTTGTTGTGAGTGTTCCATGTTCTATTAATTGTTGTTTCATTAATTTAATTGTGTCATCTATCGGTATGTTCGTGTACATGTCATTTACATCAAATGAAAGAAATAAAGAATTTTGTGGTATGTGAATATCTTTGATTTTGTCAATTAGTTCATATGTATTGGCTACATTTATATCATTATTCATGTTTATGTTCTGTTTTATTTTGTTATGTAAATACTTACATAGATTGTATGTAGGTGCTTGACGGAAATTTACAATTGGTCTAATCGGAATATCTTGTTTGTGTGTTTTCGGTTGTGCTCGTAATGTAGGTGACTTTGGATTTGGTACTTTCAATGAAGATTTTTCTTTTTGTGTAATACTTTTGCAATTTGTAATAGTGGAGTTGACTATTTTTGTAAATTCTTCTGTTGGATCTTTTGTTAACAGTTTAAACTTTCCTTTTTCAAGAAATGTATTGACTTTTTCTTCATAATCATTCTTTTTCATGATAACCAATAACCGTACAAAAACACTTTGATATACTGAATTGTTTGTTTTTTTTAAGCTCTTTAAGAAGGTTAAGAGGAAAATTGGGAAATTTTGTGTTTTGAGGGTCAAAAGTGAGAAAAACCAATTTTTACCCCATAAAACCCTGTTCCCATGGTCCGATCATGCTGGATCGCGAACTCATTCAAGTTTATCCCGCCTTACACCTTTAAACCAAATTTCATCAAAATCGGATAAAAATTACTCAAGTTATCGTGTTTAAACTTAAATTAAGTTATAGTGTAGCCCTAATCACTACAGTTTTCCTAATTAATATGGCTAACAACCAACAAGTGATCCATCGATACAAATACCTCAACCTAAAGAAAGAAAAAATCATTGAAGACATCAAGTTTAACAAAATTTGTCTATCTGAAAATCTTTGTCCAAATTACGTCCAAATTCATACAAAAAGTAAATCACAAGCTGCAATTCGAACAATTGATACGGCAAAAAAGATTTGGGTAAAAGAAGAAATCAACTTTCTATACAGCAAACTAAACAAAATTGAAAATCAAATGACAAACAAACTAAACGAGATTAAGACCAAATTCCATTGTGAAACAATAGAAGAAATACTTGAATATATACGAAATTGGATCGAACCTATCATGAACAAAAAGAAGACCACACAAAAAAATAAACTTAATAAGCTACGCAAAAACCAGGTAAGCTACACATTAGAAATAGAAAATGAAATACAACATGAATTCAGTCCAAAATTTAAAAACCTGACAGATATTGTGTTCACAGAAAATGAAGAAGAATTTTTAGGTAATTCAATCAAATATAATTTAAACCTAGACCACCACAAACATAATCTGAAAGAAGATCTTCTTAACTTAGAAATGTCCATAAGAAAACAAAAAGATGACGTACAGGATCCAATAAGACACAACATTATACATGAAATGAACAAATTAAAGTTACCAAATACACATCCAAATACCACTAGAAAATCAAGAGAAGAACTATCCTTAATTGATAATATAACTGGAAAATTAAATGAATGTGACGCAATAATAACCAAAGCGGATAAAGGAAATTCAGTCGTTATCATGAAAAAGAATGATTATGAAGAAAAAGTCAATACATTTCTTGAAAAAGGAAAGTTTAAACTGTTAACAAAAGATCCAACAGAAGAATTTACAAAAATAGTCAACTCCACTATTACAAATTGCAAAAGTATTACACAAAAAGAAAAATCTTCATTGAAAGTACCAAATCCAAAGTCACCTACATTACGAGCACAACCGAAAACACACAAACAAGATATTCCGATTAGACCAATTGTAAATTTCCGTCAAGCACCTACATACAATCTATGTAAGTATTTACATAACAAAATAAAACAGAACATAAACATGAATAATGATATAAATGTAGCCAATACATATGAACTAATTGACAAAATCAAAGATATTCACATACCACAAAATTCTTTATTTCTTTCATTTGATGTAAATGACATGTACACGAACATACCGATAGATGACACAATTAAATTAATGAAACAACAATTAATAGAACATGGAACACTCACAACAACTCAAATTAATGATTTAGTTAGACTAACCAAAATTACATTAAACCAAAACTATTTTCAATATAATCAGTCATTTTACATTCAAGAAGACGGTTTACCTATGGGTTCTCCTCTATCTGGACTTCTAGCTGATATTTACATGAATAATTTAGAGAAAACCAAAGTTTTAATTGAAAGCAACCCTTACAAATCCAAAATTATATACTGGCACCGATATGTTGACGATATCCTTTGCCTTTTTGAAGGAACACAAACAGAAGCAAACAATTTACACGAACACATAAATTCAATCTCAACACAAATTAAATTCTCAAAAGAAATACAACATTCACACATTAACTTTCTAGATATAACCATTTCAAAAGAAAAACACATTCACAGATTTAAAATTTACCGAAAACCAACTACAACAAACAGTATCATACCTTCACATTCTAATCATCCATGGCAACATAAATTGGCAACATTTCATTCGTTAACACACAGACTTGTAAATATTCCTATGTCCACTGAAAACTTTAACAAAGAAAAAAATACTATTATATATTTGGCAGTGAAAAATGGATACAATCCATCTATAATTGAAAAAATGATTAAGAAGAAATTTAAGAGAAAACTTCAAACACAAGGAACTACTTCAGGAACAGAAAACAAAAAGATAAAAGAATTTATTTGTATACCGTACAATACCAAAATTAATAAAGCCCTAAGAAAAACTTTCAACCGTTCAAATGTAATAATCAGTTATAAAACAAAAAATAATGCTTTTCAAATGATCAATAACAAAATTTCAAAAGAAAATATAGCTAACCAAAATCAAGACGATATGAGAAAATCAGGTATTTATGAAATCAAATGTTCTAATTGTGATAAATCCTACATTGGGCAAACAAGTCGAACTTTTGAAAAACGGTCCAAAGAACATATTCAAGCATTAAGATCAGGAAACCGCACAACAATGAAATCTAATTTTGCAGAACATTTAATACAAACAGACCATGAATACAAAAGCATCCACGAAAATTTAAAAATCCTTGAATATGAAAAAGACAAATCAAAATTACATGTTAAAGAAGATTTTTACATTTACAAAAACTATAAACAACACCCAGAAAATTTACTAAACACAATGAACATCAACAAATGCAATCCAATATTTGAAAAAATCCTGCAGTTAAATTAAGAGAGAAAATTATTATATATAGTATAAAGACCATTTAAAACAGAAGAAATCTAAAGTCAGTCATCAAAACCTATGAAATCATATGATTGTATTTATTATTTAGATAAAATGTTTATTGTATTTGTTAGATATAAAAACAACATGACTATGACATAATCGTCGAAACTAGTCGTTGTTAAATAAAATGAATTAAAAAAAAAGGGTACTTAGTTTTAATAATGCATTTACATATATATATATATATATATATATACATATATAAAAATTTGAACGAATGGTGTTTTTGGCCTCTGGGGACATCAAAATGAAAAAGTAAATCGGTCCCGGGCCTAAGTGTTACCATGAGACCTACGGTAATAGCTACCTACTTCCCTATAGGGAAATTCGCTAATAAAGTAAGAAAGACGAAGTAATGAGTGCTGGCAATGAGCTTGGGCATAGGCACATGAATACAGAACGGAATGAAGGAACTAGCACAGAGAACTGGCAACAGAGCATGTGAAAAGAAGGGGGGGGACAAACACACTGCTCAAGCACTAAAACGTATCAGTGGCATCCTGTCCACACACTGTTTTTATATACCGAATTGCGGCATGGTGCCACTATTAAAACTACAGTGTTTGATGTTAAAATGGAGTGTTCATCAGAAACATCGATGTACAATAAGTTTTGCCACCTTTCTTCATCTAGTGGTGGCCGCAGTATGAAAGATGCCACAATTTGGTATGGCGAGTATTCGGTAAAGACCCGTATGTTTGTGTGTGTGTTAATTAAATCTATACTATGGCCTATCTGGAATTTTTTCTCAGCTAAAGTAGCTGCTCTCCCCTTTTTTCCCCCTTGATCAACCTCATGAGTGTAGTTTTAGATAGCTTATCCATGATTATTGTAAAATGTTATGGTTATGTGAATGGTAAAAATACCTGCAAAACCTTTTCTCTTATCAGAATTAAGAGATACCATCCAATTGACCCCTACATTTTTAGTTTCAAACTGTCTAATTAATTTAGTCTTTCAAATAATTTTATGCATACTTGTGGTTGCCTTCATGGTAATTTTAGTGATGGGTCAGTATTTAATGTCAGTTTTTAGTTAAAAAAAGAAACCTGTAAATAAGAATATGTAAAAACATTCTGTAACCAAGAATTGGCGAAAGAAGTAAGTTTTGGTTAATCGGTTGCTTCTCCACTGTGTATTGTAGGCAACGTTACGAGAGTTTGAGCAGTGAAGGAGAAGACATGTCCCCATCCTTCATTACAGCTGAGGACTTGGAGGCAACACCACATCCAACAGCTACTCCCATAAAACAGTTTTACTTCTATCAAGGTAACTTTTAACTGTAATAAATTACTATTGGTGCCCATCTTCATCTGTAATTGTGTCAGATAATGTAAATCTGTCAAAAATATGATTTTGAAAATGGTTGCATTATTTAAGTATCTGGTCTTTATCTTGCATATATCACTGTTGAGGAAAAAGTGGGTGGTAACTAGACACAACCAAGATATAGGGGTGTGTGAGTAGTATTTTATTTTATTTTATGAGTTTTTATGTAAAATCGACATTAAAAATTCTGTAGCTCTGTACACATTCACACACAGACACAGATAAACATCACTTCGTAAACCACTTCTTTTTTGTTCAATGTGTCCTAAAACGGATATACAGGGTGTTTCACCGGAACCCTGACAAACTTCGGAAAATTGTTCCTTGGATCAAAACTAAAAAAAAATTTCCTATAAGCATATGTAACATACTCGTTTTTTAGTTATACGTAAAAATAGGATTTTAGTGTATCTGTGGAGCATTCTGCCCCCTAGATTGAAAGATTGACAAGATATTTTGATGAAACATGCATTGATAGAATATTAAATTTCAAAGAGATTTCATAACTATCTTGGGCAAACATGTTGGCTATGACTGATGAAAATAAGTTTAAAAATAAAATATTTTAGAAAAAAAAATAGATTAAAAATTATTTTTTGTTTTTGACAGCTCTTTATGTAGTAACCATTCAAGCTTTTGGCTTGCAACTTTACCAAAAGTTGTTGAATTTAACGGAGAACAAGGAAATGTGAATTTTTGTAAACCTTTTATTGGGATTATTATTGTCAAAATCTAAAATATTGTAAAATATCAAAAATTAATTAAATTAGGCGAAATAAACAAAATTGCATATTTAGCTTATTTTTAAACACATCCAAATAAAAGTTGGAATATGGGTTCTCCTGGTTGAGAAGTATTGCATAATGACCTAAAATTTTCTTCTTTTTCATTTTTTATGATAGAAAACAAGCATACCCACTTTCCTATGTTAACCTTATGGGGAAAAATAAAATACGATAGCTAGCATATTTCTGAACACATCTTATTATGGGTGGGAGTAAACAGGCTTCGTGCAAAAGAAATGTAAAACTAGAGATTTTAGGCCATAATCATGTAGTACTCAACTAAAAGCAGGGATACACACCAGTTTTAATAAGATGTGTTCAGAAATATGCGAGCTATCGTATTTAATTTATCTCCATAAGGTTAACATAGGAAAGTGGGTATGCTTGTTTTCTTTACAAGCATAGATATTCACGATCTATGCTTGTAGATGTTCACGATTGTAGACGACGATTATGATGTTTCCGTTACCGGGGGAGTCAATGATGCCTACAAGGCCCCGGGAGATGTTCATGAGTTTGCCGCGATCGGAGATGACGACGATCATGTTTCCGAGACCGCGGGAGACGACGATGACGTTTCCGTGACCGCAGAAAACGACGATGATGTCTACACGGCCGCAAGAAATGTTCAATATTTAGCCGTGATCGTAGACCATATGACGATGACATTTCCGTGACCGCAGGAGTCATTAATGTCCACACGGCTGCGGGAAATGTTCAAAATTTTGCTGTGATTGTGGACGACGATGATGACGTTTCTGAGTTCACAAGAGAAGACCATGACGGTTCCTAGACCGCAAGGTACGACGATGATGTCTATATGGCCGCGGAAAATTATCATAATTTTGTAGTGATCGCAGATAACGAAGATGACGATTCCGTGACAACGGGAGACGACAATGATGTCTACACGGCCACAGGAAATGTTCATAATTTTGTAACGATAGCAGACGACGAAGATAGTTCTGTGACCAATTGAGACGACGATGATGTCTACACGGCCACAGGAAATGTTTACCATTTTGCCGCGATCGCGGACTACGATGATGATGTTTCCTTCACTGCGGGAGACGACTAATATGTTTCCGAGACCACTGGAGAGGACGATGACGTTTCCGTGACCGAGGGAGACGACAATGATATCTAGTCCACCGTGGGAAACGTGTTGCCGCGATCTCAGACAGCAAACAAAGCCGTTTTCGTGACCGCGGCATTTATTTATTTCATCTCATAACATCATTTGACAGGACATCTTACTAATATTACACAAATCTGAAAGTTTGTGTGTTGCTCAATCACGCAATAACTACTGGACGGATTGGGCTGAAATTTGGCATGACGATAGCTAATATTCCCGATTAAATGTTAACCTTATGAGTATTCATATTTAAAAGGAATTAAAGAATTTTTATTATTTTTTTTTTATATTGCACACTAAAACAAACCCAAGATTTTAAAGACTGTTCTAAAAATATATTAAAACATCTAGTTGCTAGGCATATTTTTGTCATAATTGTTTTGGAGTGGTGGTGCTACCGATCAACATGTCCAAGGTGTCGTTGTTTTGCCATAAAACAAAAAAAACTTTGGAATTCCATCAGGGCTCTGCCCCAGTAGCCTTCAAAGTTCCCATATTATTCTTAGGGAGAAAATGTTTGTTTACATTTGAACAGATAAATAATGTGAAATTGACACTAATAATTGAAACAGCTGGTTATACTAAAATTGGAGACATGTGCTATAAGGATTTATTAGATTAGTTGACAAGATTGATGTTTCACTGTTTTAAACCAGTTTTTATTTGCACAAAATCAAAACATAACCAAAAAAGTTTGACATAATGGAGACTATAAGATGTCGACCAGGACGGCCAATAGGAGGTGGCCGACGAACTTTAACTGGTTGACGCGAACGAAATACAAATAATACTATTGTCGTTGATAGCCGAATACAGCAAGCACCCTTCCGCGTTGGGTTTAAGTGTGCTCTCCAACAGCCGCCTGAAGATTTCACATTCAATTTAGGACTTTTGGTTAATCGCTGCACAAGCTGTTTCTCATATAATTTCCAAGCCGAACAAACTAGTGGTGATCGCCGAACCTTCAGCCTTTGTTGTCATAGGTTCTGTTTCACTTATGATTCAAAGACTACTTGAAAATCGTGCGTCCAAGGACCTCTCCCAAAAGCAGATGTCTGTGAATTATATTGAGAACATAAGACCGTTCAATGCGCCATTTGCAATAGTTAGCTCCGAGTGTCATCTGGATGACAGTGTTGCCAATGGTGTCTACATCTCCAAGATTCACGACACAAACTATCACCGCATTGTAGGGCTTATCCCTCACAACATTCATTATCCGAAATATGCTGAGTTATATTTTTACGATGTTGACATTGCAAATCGAGAAAGACTCAACGATGCAGCAAACCAAAACTGTGACCCGCAAGTGATGAATGAAATTGCTTTACATTTGGCAGCGGTAAATCCATTTGTTCAATCTTTCAAGATTATGCGGAAGTTGTTCAAGAAGCAGCTCCAGAAGAAACGGCAAATGTTAGAATGTTTTTATGATTACTCCTAATCAAGATTCTAGACAATACAATGATGCAAGATGCACTGACGTCGCCGCAATCTTTAAAGCTAACAATGGTGCTCCGCCTGGAGAACGAAGTTTTTGTAGTGTATCCCAAAACTGAACAGCTACGCTTTGTATCTGTTTTGGAGCCATCTCTCTAAAATCTCTCTTTGGAGGCTAATTAAAATTTAGCACATTTATGTAATGCAAATTTTTGTTGATGTGGTATTAGGCCTATTCATACATATGACAACATATATGAATTTTAGGTGGAAAATGTATTTTCAATCATAGAAGAACCTGAATTGGTGGAAATGTCAGTGAGCTGCTTTACTTGCCATTTCATAATTTTTACTTGCAGAATCATATTGATAAGCACGTTACCTATTTTATAATATTGACTTTACAAATAAAGATATGTATTGGTGTTATTAGCAAATAAAAACATTTTTGCAAAATTTATACTAAACCTTTCAGTAATTGTTTTACATTGATAAATTGAGAGGATAAAACCAGAGCTACAAACTACAAGGTATACGTATAGCAGACCTACAAAAATACCAAATTTATCAGTCTAAAACATCAATCTTACGAGTTAAGTATCAAGTACAAATTTTTCAGACTTGTTAGAATGTGTTATTTTTAGAATGATTTTGGAGTGACTTGTTTGGCTATGTTTACAGTAGTAAAATATGTCTCACACTGCTTACACTTAACAAAACTTCTCATCATTTTCAATGTGAAAAAAATATATAAAACAATTAAATTAGGGATGGACGGGATTGAATTTTTAGTTCGGGACGGGACGGGACGGGATTTTTATTTCCTTCCCGATTTTCGGGACGGGACGGGACGGGATTTTTTTTCTATGCATAAAAAGAAAGTACTGTATTGCAGTTACCAAAAAAGACACACGAAATCAATTTTTACCATTTGTGGCACTGATCTATAAAAACCAAAAAATGGGTAACAATTTACAGGTACCTATAGAAACTTGTGACTCGCGGGTCACGGGGTGATCGTCTGTATGACTCACGGTCACGGCGCGATCGTCGTCATGACTCGCGGTCACGGCGCGATCGTCGGTATGACTCGCGGTCACGGCGCGATCGTCGGTATGACTCGCGATCACGGCTCGATCGTCAGAATGACTCCGCGGTCACGGCGCGATCGTCGTCATGACTCGCGGTCACGGCGCGGTCGTCGGTATGACTCGCGATCACGGCTCGATCGTCAGAATGACTCCGCGGTCACGGCGCGATCGTCGTCATGACTCGCGGTCACGGCGCGGTCGTCGTCATGACTCGCGGTCACGGCGCGGTCGTCGTCATGACTCGCGGTCACGGCGCGATCGTCGTCATGACTCGCGGTCACGGCGCGGTCGTCGGTATGACTCGCGGTCAAGGCGCGATCGTCGGTATGACTTCGCGGTCACGGGGTGATCGTCGGTATGACTCGCGGTCACGGCGCGATCGTCGGTATGACTCCGCGGTCACGGGGTTATCGTCGGTATGACTCGCGGTCACGGCATGATCGTCGGTATGACTCGCGATCACGGCTCGATCGTCAGAATGACTCC